CCCCCCCCCCCCGCCCCGTCTCTTTCTGGTCAAGGTAAAAAATATTGATAATGATAAAATTAAATAAAATAATTCTTTAAAAAAAAAAAGAAAATTCTGGTTAGGTTCTTTCTGTGCTCTAAACTGGGAATTACCTTTCAGTGGAAGCCCTAGAATGGTAGGGCTCACCTCATTTGTCTTTCTTTTTTCAGGATTATAATTTTGCAACTTTCAACATTTGGAAATGATTGTAAATTTTATCCTTTTTTTTTTTTTTTTAATTACATTGACTGAAGGGGGGAAGGGTAATTCTCGCTCTCATGGTTTGAAGTAGTTCTAGTCAACAGTTGCTAGGCTGGTTTCCACCAGTGGTTCTCAGCAATGTGGGATTCACCCACCCTCTCCTCAAGTACATTTGGCACTATGTGGAGACATTTTGGGTTGTCGTAACTGGCAGTCGCTACTGGCATTAGGAGGCTAGAACCTAGGAATACTACTAAACATCCCTATTTCAGTGCATAGAACAGTACCCAACAACAAAGAATTATTGACCAAGTGTGTCAGTGATACTGAAGTTCGAAAACCTAGTGAAAACAGACAACCCCAGAAATTAAAGTCCAGATTTTCTAGTTAGCAGAGCCACCTGCGTTTCCTCATCTGTAAAATGGGAGTATATAGGGACCAGCAGTTAGCGTAATGGCTATGTCACTGAACTCCCATGTAGCCGACTGCGGTTTGAGTCCCGGACCCGGTGGCTTAAACTCACGCTGGGCGCGTGTGCGTGCATGCCCAAGATCCCGAGAGGAGAGTGGAAGAGAAGGGATTGTGGCGTGGCCATCCCCCCGGGAGGTGATTTCTTGCTTTCTGTCTCTCTGTCTCTCTCTGTCTTTCTGGCGAGCGCATGCACCCTATAGCAAAAACCTCTCCAAAAACAGACAAACAAAAAAAATGTGAGTATACATTGTCATCCTAAGAGCTGGATTTGAAAAAAAAAAAAAAAGAGTGAGAAAGCATCCTCCAGGGTAGATGGCCAGGCTGCAATCCCTTTTCTCACATTCTCCTTTTAGGATTTGGGGCACGCATGCACATGCCCAACGTGTTTCAGATGACCAGGTCCAGGACACGAATGCACAGTTGGCCATGGGGATCCAGCCTATTTAACTACCACGCCGGCAACTAGTCCTGTGTAAAGCATTTGAGCAGTTCTTTTCTCGTAACAACGAATCAATAAATGATAACTCTTTGTAACCGACGGTCTAGAATAACCTTAACAGGTTGGAGTAAGTGGGTTGACGCCTGTCGTTTAGCCCCTCATCTTGATTGTTGTCACTGAACCCATGGAGCACAGAGAAAGCAGAATGCCTAGAGAAATTGAGTGATCCTTTGAAGCTCAGAACTGTTTTTCAGAAGGTAACAGTGACCAACTTCAGAATGGTCTGGGATACTTGCTAAACTCAGATTGCTGGGTCTTCTACCGGTATTCCAGGAATGTATATGTTTATAGCCCTCTCGGGGTGTTTAAGATATACACGTTTGCAAACTTTTACCTATAGTTATCCAAGGCATAACTCAATTTCACCTTCCTGGGCTTGGGGGTAGAATTATGTTCTCCTAGTGTAAGTTCTAGCCTCCTAATGCCAGTAGCGACTGCCAGTTACGACAACCCAAAATGTCTCCACACAGTGCCAAATGTTTAGTAAGCCAGTTAAAGAAGGACCTTCTGGAGTTGTTCCATGTTTATCGAATCAGCTTACTCTCCTTTTTTGAAAATGATAGGAAGTGCCTGTATGAGAAAGAAAGAGAGAAAGCACCCCTTTTTTTTTGTGGAGAGATTTTTGCTATAGGGCGTGTGTGCTCGCCAGAGAGAGAGAGAGAGAGACAAAGAGATAGAAAATGAGAAATCACCCCCCAGGTGGGATGGCCATGCTGCAATCCCTTCTCCTCCATTCTCCTCTTGGGATCTTGGGCACGCACGCACAGGCGCCTGGTGTGAGTTTAAGCCACCAGGTCCGGGACTTGAACCGTGGTCGACTACATGGGAGTTCAGTGACATAGCCATTACGCTAACTACTAGTCCCAAGAAAGCACTCTTAATAGAGTCTTGTCCTGATGTGATCCCCTTCCCCCAGTACTCCACATCCTCAGGATCCTGGGAGTCTGCATGTGCACCCAGCATATCTGTGGAATCAACCTTTGGAAACTCTACCTTTGTCTCCTGCAGTGGTCTTCTCCATCAGAAACGACGGAAAGTTTCATATCAAAAGAAATATGGTTGGCACCTCCACAGTTCTACGAAATAAGAAGACTTGAAAATTTTGCCTCTCTTTCTGACTTGTATAAATTTTGTTTGGGACGTGGATTAGAAGGTGCAGAAAGATGGATGCCGATCACATTGTTAACTGCTGATGGGATGATTCAGCTTTTACCAGGTAAATCATGAGGCGTCGATGGTGTAGTTAGTGTTCGTATTCAGTGCTCTAGGTGATGGTAGTATTGCCCAACACAGAGACATCAGTTGCCATCTGTATTTTGTAGGCCATAGGGTATTAATTACATAAGGTCAAAGTCTGTGAGATAGCGATAGCATTCATCATAACCAGAGTTTCTGGATAATGTCATTACACACACGTACACATATACACAGGGGAGGTTGTCTTCAAAAAGTTTATGAGAAATGAGTATTGTGAAAGAACTGCATGGATCGCAAATTTTTTTGCACGAAAATAAACTCATGCAATAATTTTATTTTGCCCCACAAACATTTAGAAACCCCCTCATACACTTATGTAAATATATTTTCTAGACGTTGACAGAGCTATGTCTTGTATACTGATTATCTCACTTGATTACATTTCATTTTTTTTTGAGAGTTTTTTAGGAAGTGCCTGTATGAGAAAGAAAGAGAGAAAGCACCCTTTTTTTTTTGTGGAGAGATTTTTGCTATAGGGCGTGTGTGCTCGCCAGAGAGAGAGAGAGAGAGACAAAGAGATAGAAAATGAGAAATCACCCCCCAGGTGGGATGGCCATGCTGCAATCCCTTCTCCTCCATTCTCCTCTTGGGATCTTGGGCACGCACGCACAGGCGCCTGGTGTGAGTTTAAGCCACCAGGTCCGGGACTTGAACCGTGGTCGACTACATGGGAGTTCAGTGACATAGCCATTACGCTAACTACTAGTCCCAAGAAAGCACTCTTAATAGAGTCTTGTCCTGATGTGATCCCCTTCCCCCAGTACTCCACATCCTCAGGATCCTGGGAGTCTGCATGTGCACCCAGCATATCTGTGGAATCAACCTTTGGAAACTCTACCTTTGTCTCCTGCAGTGGTCTTCTCCATCAGAAACGACGGAAAGTTTCATATCAAAAGAAATATGGTTGGCACCTCCACAGTTCTACGAAATAAGAAGACTTGAAAATTTTGCCTCTCTTTCTGACTTGTATAAATTTTGTTTGGGACGTGGATTAGAAGGTGCAGAAAGATGGATGCCGATCACATTGTTAACTGCTGATGGGATGATTCAGCTTTTACCAGGTAAATCATGAGGCGTCGATGGTGTAGTTAGTGTTCGTATTCAGTGCTCTAGGTGATGGTAGTATTGCCCAACACAGAGACATCAGTTGCCATCTGTATTTTGTAGGCCATAGGGTATTAATTACATAAGGTCAAAGTCTGTGAGATAGCGATAGCATTCATCATAACCAGAGTTTCTGGATAATGTCATTACACACACGTACACATATACACAGGGGAGGTTGTCTTCAAAAAGTTTATGAGAAATGAGTATTGTGAAAGAACTGCATGGATCGCAAATTTTTTTGCACGAAAATAAACTCATGCAATAATTTTATTTTGCCCCACAAACATTTAGAAACCCCCTCATACACTTATGTAAATATATTTTCTAGACGTTGACAGAGCTATGTCTTGTATACTGATTATCTCACTTGATTACATTTCATTTTTTTTTGAGAGTTTTTTTTTTTTTTTTGGCTATAGGGCACATGTACTTGACAGAGAGGCAGAGAGAGAGAGAGACAGAAAGCGGGGAATGGCCACACCACAGTCCCTTCTCCATTCTCCTATCTGGATTTTGGGTATGCACGCACACCTGGCTGGTGTGAGTTTTAAGCCACTGGGTCCAGGACTCGAACCACGGTCGACTACATGGGAGTCCAATGATGTAACCACTACACCATCTGCAGGTCCCAACTTTATTACATTATAAATTTAAATGACAAGCATTAATGTGCAGTCACCATATTTCAATTAGGGACTTTGTTAATGGTTAGATGGACAAACACCTTTGTGATGGCGCCTTTGTGGCAGTTTAGAGTGGGTCTTTGTCACCTGTGTTACTCCATGGCTGCCTGCTCAGCTCCTCTGAATAATGGTCAGATTCATTACTCAACCTATAGGGGTCATTTAGCACTTTTCATTTATGTGGTAACTTTTTTTTTTTAAGAGGTTTTTGCCTTACAGTGCGTGTACTGGCCAGAGAGACAGAAACAGAGATAGAGACGGTGAGAGAGAGCAGTTGCACACACACAGTAAGGCAAAAACCTCTTTAAAAAAATGATCAGAACAGCCCGCATTAAAATGCCAAAGTCGACCATACCAAGGCAACATTACTGTTGGGTCATCAGAAAAGTCATGATGTGTTTTAAAAAAATGCAATATCAGTATTGCATAGAATAAAGAGAGTCATGAACTAGTCTAAAAGTTACAGTCCACAATGAAAACATACCAGTCATAAATGTTGATGTGTGCAAGGAAAGTTCTTGGATGAGGGGAAGGAGTGTCATTAAAAATAGAGGCAAGTAGTGCCAGCAGGTGGTATGGTGGTTAAGGTGCTGGACGCTCACATCACTGATTGTAGTTTGTCTCTCTCAAATGTAGTGGCTTGTTTTCGCATATTCTCTCTCTCCTTAAATTAAAAACTAAATGCAATAAAAAGAAATACAATTAAATAATTCTTTTAAAAAAGTAGAAGCAAATTGGAAAAACCTCATCCAATTGGGGTTATTCACAACGATCTCAGTTCTAAACACATGAAGTAGATACAAAGAAATGCCGATTTGTCCTTCTGTGTTAGAAGGAGTTAAAAAATTAAATACTTTATGGACTTAAAATTTTATTATTTTTCAGGAGATGAGCTGTACTTGGAAGATTCAGATTTTTTAAACAAGCTTTTGTCTACGGAAAAAAAGAACGAAGAAGTCATGAAAGAAGGCAGTAAATTTCACCGAGTAGTGATATACAACCGCCATCTTTATCACATCCACGTGACTGTTGAGTCACAGAATAAGCACATTTATCCCAAGAGCTATGTGTTAAGTAAGAGCCATCTGTAGGGTGCTGCTTATTTGTAAGCTGGCCTAATTGAGTATCCTAACTAACAAGCAGGGTTGACTAAACTTGCCTGAAACTGTGTGTCTGTGAAAGTCACAGTGTTTTCTTACTTCAAGTATAAACATGGCACCCTATTGGTTATTTTATTCTTTAAGCCTTACAGTATGCCACAAGTATTAAGTTCATACAATATTAATGATCTTGTTACCAAAACTAAAGCAGTTCACAGAAGTTCTTACCCTGTATTGTGTTACCTCGAAGTTTAAATGAGATGTTCTGCTGCCACTGTTGTAACTGCCCAATAAGTGTTGGCACTGTCCTTGATGTGCTTTGGAGGTTGATTCATGAATATCTTAAACTTCTTTCTGGAATTAGTTGAAGGATGTCTGCTTAGATGGTTAACGGTAGACTGAGACCAGCTTCAAGTGCTTATGTCACCTCTGTCCTTAGCTTTGAAGGTTAAGACATAATTCTGTTTAAAATCAAATGGCATGGGGCCAGCACATGGTACGGTGGTTAAGATGCTAGATTCCCACTTGGTTGAGGACTCAGCGGCTTGAAAATCACAACACGCAAATAATCGAGTTCTCAGGAAAGTCATGACACATTTTAGCAGAGAAGAACATAGGAGGAAGGAAAAAGAGAAAAACAAATATTGGGCTGTTGGGATAGTCATGATGTATTTTTGCGTAGGAAAAAAAAAAGAAAAATAGGTCATGACTTCCCTGATGACCTAAAACATCATGACTTTCCCAACAACCTAATAGGTAAATAAATGCTTAAAAATAAATACATAATAAAATGTCGGATCCAGCCACAATAGCATGTGCTACTCAGGTCACATGGGAGGCTTGGTTTGATTCCTGGCCCACTGTGAAAAGCTGAGCTCAGTGTCATGTACCTATAGTCCCAGCTACAGAGAGGCTGAGGCAGGAGGATCACAGCATAGGGAGACTATCTAGGGGGGGAAAAAAACAAATCCAAACGGCATTCATATGTGTCCGAAGTTGGAATTCCAATTTAGTTAATATCATAAAATATGAAGCCATAATAAAAGTCAACATTATTTTTACTTCAGAGGGCTAATTCATGAACGTGAAGAGGTTAGAGAGATACAGTGTTTAAATGATGTTATTTTCAATATGACTAACATGGGTCATTTTTTTTTAACCTGCTTCAAAGAGGAATAAAGTTTATTGATTAAAGGTGGGAAGTTTTAGTTAAGACGCAAGTCCTATTTCAAGATCTTTGACTGTATTATGCATTGTTCAGTGCATTTCATTTTTCATGAAATGTCCTAATTTTCCTGCCTATAAAATAAAAGGCACTGATAAATGAGTTTTACATGTGTTATTTAATTCTGACTAGAGGAACATACCTAGAACAGTGGCTTTCAGCCTTGGGCACTTTTGCCCTCAGGGGCTATTTGGCTATCTCTAGAAACATTTTTAAAATTTTTTTTTTTTGAGAGGTTTTCACTATAGGGTGCATGCACTCGCCAGAAAGACAGAGAGAGACGGAGAGACTGAAAGCGAGAAATCACCCCCCAGGGGGGATGGCCATGCTGCAATCCCTTCTCCATTCTCCTCTTGGGATCTTGGGGCATGCACACACTCACGCCCGGCGTGAGTTTTAAGCGGTTAGATGGAAAATCACCTTTGTGATGGCGCCTTTGTGGCAGTTTAGAGTGGGTCTTTGTCACCTGTGTTACTCCATGGCTGCCTGCTCAGCTCCTCTGAATAATGGTCAGATTCATTACTCAACCTATAGGGGTCATTTAGCACTTTTCATTTATGTGGTAACTTTTTTTTTTTAAGAGGTTTTTGCCTTACAGTGCGTGTACTGGCCAGAGAGACAGAAACAGAGATAGAGACGGTGAGAGAGAGCAGTTGCACACACACAGTAAGGCAAAAACCTCTTTAAAAAAATGATCAGAACAGCCCGCATTAAAATGCCAAAGTCGACCATACCAAGGCAACATTACTGTTGGGTCATCAGAAAAGTCATGATGTGTTTTAAAAAAATGCAATATCAGTATTGCATAGAATAAAGAGAGTCATGAACTAGTCTAAAAGTTACAGTCCACAATGAAAACATACCAGTCATAAATGTTGATGTGTGCAAGGAAAGTTCTTGGATGAGGGGAAGGAGTGTCATTAAAAATAGAGGCAAGTAGTGCCAGCAGGTGGTATGGTGGTTAAGGTGCTGGACTCTCACATCACTGATTGTAGTTTGTCTCTCTCAAATGTAGTGGCTTGTTTTCGCATATTCTCTCTCTCCTTAAATTAAAAACTAAATGCAATAAAAAGAAATACAATTAAATAATTCTTTTAAAAAAGTAGAAGCAAATTGGAAAAACCTCATCCAATTGGGGTTATTCACAACGATCTCAGTTCTAAACACATGAAGTAGATACAAAGAAATGCCGATTTGTCCTTCTGTGTTAGAAGGAGTTAAAAAATTAAATACTTTATGGACTTAAAATTTTATTATTTTTCAGGAGATGAGCTGTACTTGGAAGATTCAGATTTTTTAAACAAGCTTTTGTCTACGGAAAAAAAGAACGAAGAAGTCATGAAAGAAGGCAGTAAATTTCACCGAGTAGTGATATACAACCGCCATCTTTATCACATCCACGTGACTGTTGAGTCACAGAATAAGCACATTTATCCCAAGAGCTATGTGTTAAGTAAGAGCCATCTGTAGGGTGCTGCTTATTTGTAAGCTGGCCTAATTGAGTATCCTAACTAACAAGCAGGGTTGACTAAACTTGCCTGAAACTGTGTGTCTGTGAAAGTCACAGTGTTTTCTTACTTCAAGTATAAACATGGCACCCTATTGGTTATTTTATTCTTTAAGCCTTACAGTATGCCACAAGTATTAAGTTCATACAATATTAATGATCTTGTTACCAAAACTAAAGCAGTTCACAGAAGTTCTTACCCTGTATTGTGTTACCTCGAAGTTTAAATGAGATGTTCTGCTGCCACTGTTGTAACTGCCCAATAAGTGTTGGCACTGTCCTTGATGTGCTTTGGAGGTTGATTCATGAATATCTTAAACTTCTTTCTGGAATTAGTTGAAGGATGTCTGCTTAGATGGTTAACGGTAGACTGAGACCAGCTTCAAGTGCTTATGTCACCTCTGTCCTTAGCTTTGAAGGTTAAGACATAATTCTGTTTAAAATCAAATGGCATGGGGCCAGCACATGGTACGGTGGTTAAGATGCTAGATTCCCACTTGGTTGAGGACTCAGCGGCTTGAAAATCACAACACGCAAATAATCGAGTTCTCAGGAAAGTCATGACACATTTTAGCAGAGAAGAACATAGGAGGAAGGAAAAAGAGAAAAACAAATATTGGGCTGTTGGGATAGTCATGATGTATTTTTGCGTAGGAAAAAAAAAAGAAAAATAGGTCATGACTTCCCTGATGACCTAAAACATCATGACTTTCCCAACAACCTAATAGGTAAATAAATGCTTAAAAATAAATACATAATAAAATGTCGGATCCAGCCACAATAGCATGTGCTACTCAGGTCACATGGGAGGCTTGGTTTGATTCCTGGCCCACTGTGAAAAGCTGAGCTCAGTGTCATGTACCTATAGTCCCAGCTACAGAGAGGCTGAGGCAGGAGGATCACAGCATAGGGAGACTATCTAGGGGGGGAAAAAAACAAATCCAAACGGCATTCATATGTGTCCGAAGTTGGAATTCCAATTTAGTTAATATCATAAAATATGAAGCCATAATAAAAGTCAACATTATTTTTACTTCAGAGGGCTAATTCATGAACGTGAAGAGGTTAGAGAGATACAGTGTTTAAATGATGTTATTTTCAATATGACTAACATGGGTCATTTTTTTTTAACCTGCTTCAAAGAGGAATAAAGTTTATTGATTAAAGGTGGGAAGTTTTAGTTAAGACGCAAGTCCTATTTCAAGATCTTTGACTGTATTATGCATTGTTCAGTGCATTTCATTTTTCATGAAATGTCCTAATTTTCCTGCCTATAAAATAAAAGGCACTGATAAATGAGTTTTACATGTGTTATTTAATTCTGACTAGAGGAACATACCTAGAACAGTGGCTTTCAGCCTTGGGCACTTTTGCCCTCAGGGGCTATTTGGCTATCTCTAGAAACATTTTTAAAATTTTTTTTTTTGAGAGGTTTTCACTATAGGGTGCATGCACTCGCCAGAAAGACAGAGAGAGACGGAGAGACTGAAAGCGAGAAATCACCCCCCAGGGGGGATGGCCATGCTGCAATCCCTTCTCCATTCTCCTCTTGGGATCTTGGGGCATGGCCACACTCACGCCCGGCGTGAGTTTTAAGCCACCGGGTCCGGGATGCGAACCGCGGTCGAATACGTGGGAGTCCAGCCACATAGCCATTACGCAAACTGCTGGTCCCTCTAGAAACATTTTTATTGTCACAACTGAGGGGGGAAGATGCTACTACCACCTAGTGGGGAAAGGTCACGATGCAGGTAAATAACAGCACAAACCCTAATCTAAAATCTTTTTTTTTTTCTTCCAGTAATTGGTTCCAATTTGTAAATTTTGTAAACCACAGATATTCTGACTCTGGCCCCCGAGACACTCAGGCTGTAGTCAAACCACAGATATTCTTACCATCCTATGCAACTTTTTTTTTTTTTTTTTTTTTTTCTTTTGGTATAGGGTGCGTGTGCTCGCCAGAGCGACAGAGAGAGAGAAAGCGAGAAATCACCCCCCGGGGGGATGGCCACACCGCAATCCCCTCTCCTCCATTCTCCCCTCAGGATCTTGGGCCCGCACGCACACGTGCCCGGCGTGAGTTTAAGCCACCGGGTCCAGGACTCCTACCGCAGCCAACTACGTGGGAGTTCAGTGACATAGCCATTATGCTAACTGCTGGTCCCTGCAACTTTTGAATCTACAAAAATTTTCATTGACTTTTCACCTTGAGTGTAATGTTCTTTTATTCTCACAGAATATTAGAATGTTAAGTTGTAAGGGACCTTAGTGAATAGTAGTATGATTTTGCCTATGGGAAAACTGAGAAATAGAGTCATGCTGCTCCTTATTGCCACAG